CACACACACACACACACACACACACACACACACACACACACAAACAATCACTCATACTTTTAGTCCCACTTTAAACTCTTTCTTACTGTTCCTCCTGTTGGACCACTCTGAGTGCTGCTAAGAGGAGATAGTTGGAAAGTGGAGAAAAACATATTTTAGTGTATGAATTATTAAACCTTCAAATATTAAAGCAGGCTGAGATTCCAGTGTATTGTACAGACATGGTCATGATAAATTTATAAGTAAGATGCAGTGTAAGGCAAGGTTATTTTTCTCTTTTCCCTCTCTTCCTTTTCCTCTGTCAAAAGCTGCTCTCAGAATTCCCATCGGACCATCCATGCCTTTCTATCCAGGATATTTGGGGTGAAAGGCTGACAAAACTGACTGTATTAATACAGGTTACACAGAGTGTATAAGTTTGGATTGACACTTGTAAAGAGACAGAAATGTTTATTTCAATTGTTTATTTGTTGTATGACAAAATCGGGTGATACTACAAATGAGACATCTATCACTGCCAGATTGATCGGACACCATAATGGATGCTAGAATGTCAGAGTCTCAGTCTCAGTGAAATCAAAACTAATGCTTGTTCTTCAGTACATGATAAGCTGATTTAATTAACTACAGACATGTGAGCCAGAGGGAAGCCTCAGAGAAACACAGTCAGAATGTGACTCAAGCTACATGAAAAGTGTATCATGCAGTAAGATAATGAATAATAAGAATAATGCTGTTGAAAAATAACACTTCTCCATGTAGGTTAGTCAAGGGCTTCATAGGGAATCAGTGGTAAATACATTTCATTGATGTAAACAAAGGCAGTAAACAAGATAATATATTCTGTATTTAAATATATTCAGAGAACCTATTCTGTCATGTGCATAATGTCTGTTGTGATCATATGAAATATGTGGCATGCAACTAATTCTTACTAGCATTACTTTTATTGTTATTAATGAAATGCTAGCATCATCTTTTAGACGGAAAAGGGAGAAAAATGTTTGAATGAAACATTTCATTTAATCATTTCATGCTTAGTGAGCTTCAGGACATCCTTCGGGAAGAAACACAGTGAGAGAATTTTGAAACATGATGTGCTTTCTTGGTAAAACTCAGTGATGTCATTTGCTCTGGCAGCTGAGCAAATTCTGTGGGATTGGGATTATGCGGTCCACTCATTTTGACTGCCCCACAAGAACACAAATGGACAGAGAAAGGTATTTTTGCGGCTTCACTATGCAGATGTGTTAGAAGACAAAGTGCATGTATATTTGATGAGGATCAAGGCAGCCTTGTCACATTTCGGTGTGAGAGACAGAGCTTGAAGTTCAGTGAAGAAGAAGAACCGACCTCCAGCCACACTGAAAGTAATACGACATGTCTGCAGACACAGAGTTTTTAGAGTTCAGATCAAATCTTCCTGTAATTATGGTTTAAAAATACTGGGCCTAATCATAATCTTAGGTCAACCCAATTCTTTACTGCTTGATACTGTGACACTGTAATAAATGGTAAGGTGTTCACTCATATAAGGCCATGCTTATAGTCACTATTGAGAAGGGCTTTTTAACTCCCGTCCTGTGTGGCCACTGCCCTGCAGAATTTACTTCCATTATGAATCATCATAAAGACCTTGATTAACTAGGTCAGATGTAGTTGAAGATTGTTGGAGTTTAATTTATGGCTTAACTTGTTAGCATTCCACTGTACACAGATCACTGCATATTTAGGCAAATTTTAGAATGCTAAGGGGTTAAAAGAACAGAGAACTTTACTGTAAACATACACTGTTGTTTCAGGCATGCACATAAACTCATATAATAATAGTAATAATAATAATAATTGGTATTATTGTTTCTGTTATTATTATTATAATGCCCACAATTTTTTATAAAATTATTGCAATAATAATAAAATTATTGTAATGTTTTTTTTTAATCATTTTTCATATGGTAAATTACAGTTAACCAATTTACAGGATTTTACTGTAGCATTTTGCTTCTTTTCCACATCACACTAAAAACACGGTGGTGATTTCACGCAGAGTATAACAACTTCCCTTTTTTTCCCCTCATGTTGTTACACTTGTGGGGATCCTGGTAAAAACTGATAAATTTGCTATTCTATAGACCTCATGTAACTCCGCCCCTTGTCTGCAGTCTTCCGTTTGTATTTTCACAGCTTGAAGGTAAGGTCGTACAAACTTATGAATGAACCGTTCGTTTTAAAATCTTTCCGGTCTACTAACATTTGTTATGACATCCGCTTCAAACATTACAATGCACATGATAACATTCATTAACTCTACAATAAGTAAATCCACTTCACCTGCTAATTTATTTATTTTTATTTTTATTAAAGAACTTGTGAACAACATTATAAAAAAAATCAGGCATCAAGTTTGAAGCTCTAAAGATATAGAATATAATTAATAATAATAAAGAACAAAACAAAACATAAAATATTTTACAACAGACATACCGTTAACATTTTTCACAACCTTCATTAAAAGAACAAATTAATTAAGAACGCTTTGTACAAAGGAGGAGATTTAGATAACCAACATTTATGAATAAATTTGCTATTCAGACTTTACCGGAAGTTTAAAGACGGCCATGCGCTTGTTTCTCTGGCGCATAAGGTCTGTAGTATTACCAAATATTGGTAATCTCAATTTTTAGTGAATATTGCCAAAACTATCCACAAATGCTTTTTTCACTCAAAAACTGAAGAATATATGCTCAGATCAGTGAAGGCTATGACCAGCCAGTTTAAGAAAAACAAAACCTGTGCTAACAGAAAGAAATCAAGTTGATAAAAAAGATTGAATATAATGTAGTGAAAATAAAGCATAATGAGAGATCTACAAACAATTTTTTAAAATGGCTGGCTATTTTTGACTGGGAACACTAGAATTTTCAGCACAGCACAAGTGTTAAAATTATTTTAGATTATACCGGTATATATATATATTTTTTAAAAAAACTAGAAAATGCTCTTTGCTTCATGAGCCTAATTATTAGATTTGATGTTCCATTGTTAAATCAGCCAATAAATGTGACTTATAAGATTTATAAACATCAGCCCATACCTATAGCTATGGTACTGAGTTGTTCAGAAAAGAGAAGAGAGGAAGAGAGTGATACTGAGCACACCTTTACCATTATTCCACATGAGGGACCATTTACTGAAGCATTTCATATCTGTAAGGAGCATAAGAGCCATCTTTTATTTATTGCGTCAGAAACGCAGCAGGTATAGAATCATTTGCTGAAAAAGCACTCCTGGCTTTCCATCTCATCTCATCTCAGAGACCAGATCATCCATCAACCATGTACTTATAAGATCAGGATGAGTTTCTATAAATGACATTCAGATTCAGATACTGTAAGTCTGTATAACAAGTAAGTGACACTTGGCAAAGGTCACAGTTATAATAGGAGAGTAAAAAGACCTTTCTACTGACTGAAAAACACCAGAAGAAAGATGCCCAGGGTACTTGATCACCTGCACGGACATGCCATAGTCCTGCTGCAGGGAGGCGTGAGGACTGCAGATGTGGCTAGAGCAATAAAATGTAATGTCCATAATGAAGACAGGTAGACAGGAAAGACAGTTGATCATCCTTGCAATGGCAAACCACGTGTAACCACGTGTACCCCCAGAAATGTCCGGGAACTTGCAAGTGTCTTGGTGGAAGAGTGGGGAAACATCTCACAGCAAGAACTGGCACATCTCAGAAATGCCAGATGACAAAATGACAATGCTCTTTGGTCAGTTTGAATGCAACTTAGTCATGTGAAGTTGTTAAGGAAAGGATAACAGAGGAAAAGTGGCAGTCGTGCTCTGAACTTTGTTATGTTTCTTTCACAGAGCTCTGTTTTCTTGGGAAACTGGGTTACAGGCTCCAGTATGTCTCTTTCTCTCTTCTGATTCTTTATTCCCAGTGGCTTTTATAAGTCTTTTAAGCTTACAAAAGCTCACAAAGCACCATAAATGTACCATAAAAATAGTCTGTATGAACCTTGGCCTTCTTCTGCCATATGATATCATTATTC